CACCATCTAGCAAAATGAGCTAGTAAGAGATGAAGCGGAGAGACCTATATCTTTCTGATATGACTTTTAGACGAGCCTCACCACATAGCTATTTCTTGCTAGCTCATTTAGCAAAATAAGATACCAGCACATACCCATTGTTTCCTCTATGTATATATTTACACACACCCCCAACATACACGTGCAGAATGCACATGCATAAATAAATTTAGATGAAAGAAATAAAATTTTTATGCATATGTTTAATTATGATTATAATACAAATATTCAGGATGAAGTGTCATCATGTATGTTATTTGCTGATGATATAGTATTAGTTGACGAGACTAGAACATGTATAATTTTTAAAATAGAAAAGTGGAGACAAGCTCTTGAAACTAAAGATTTTAAAATTAGTAGAACAAAAATTGAATACATGGAATGCATTTTTAGTAAAACTAGAAAGAAAAAAGAGCCTATAGTTCATATTGATAGCCAAAATATATCTAAAAGTAATTAATTTCGCTATTTAGGATCAATCATTTAGCATGATGGTGAGATTGAGGATGATGTCAGTCGAATCAAATCGGGATGATTAGAATGGAGAAGTGCTTCGAGAGTCTTATGTGATTGTATAATACATGTTAGACTTAAAGAAAAATTATATAGGACAGTTAGAAGACCAACAATACTTTATGGATCACAATGTTAACAATTAAAAAATAAAATGTGCAAAAAATGAGTGTAGCAGTATGAGAATGATGAGATGGTCTTGTGGGCATTTAATAAAAAATAAGATAAGAAATGAGTGCATCTATAGTAAATTTGAAGTTGGTCTTATAGAGGATAAAATAAGAGAGGATCGATTAAGGTAGTACGATCATGTACAACGTAGATCTCTTAGTGCACCGGTTAGGAAAGTGATAATATTACAGTTAATGGAGCAAATAAATCGAGAGGTAGACCTAGAAGAACTTGGTTGGAAGTAGTTAAGAATGATATAGTTATGGTTAGCTTAACAAAGGAGATAACCCATAATAGAACGAAATGGAAGAATAGTATTCATGTAGCCGATCCTAAACATTTGAGATAGAGGCTTTGTTGTTGTTATAGTATAAATATAAATATAATTTTATACTTCTTAATATGTATTTTAATTTTAATGTTTACATGCTAAATGACTTAATATGTATTTTAATTTTAATGTTTACATGCTAAATGATGCATGTATTTCATAAGTAACATTATTTGATTAAAACACATATTGAGGAATATATAATTCATTATAATATTTACATATATAAATTCTAACTACTCTAGTAATTATATTTAATAATTTTTTTGAGAAAACAACTATATTTAATAATTAGTTCTCTTGAATAATTTTTACCGTAGCACATATTTTGAATAAAATTATAAACATGCGTGGCCAATAAATATGTTTAAATTCAAGTATTATTATTATTTTCATTGCATGGTCTTTTTCACTACTTTAAAGGATTTGTGTAACATTTTAATATAGAGGGTGAGATATGTAAAGAGAATGGATAGTAGAGAGGACCCACATCATTTCATGAGCTAAACCTCTTTCCAATTTTACCCCTCTACTTTGTGTTTATACCAACCTAAATCCAAAAAATGGGACTTTTCCACCATTCCTTCACTTCCACCCACCATTTATTTTCCCCGTACAATGTAGTATGTGTGTGTGTGTATAGAGTACAGTTGCAATATGCACAATGTATAACTTACAAGGCTACACACCTGTACAAATACATGTTTGACCATCGATATTAATAATCCACACCATTCATGCTGATCTATGCAATTGAAACTACATGAAGACTAGAAATTAATTAGATTCAATATTTTTGGTTTATTCATCTAATGCCTTTGAAATGGGCGGTCTATAACTGCCTCAGATGTTAGTTATTTTGAGTTGATTGAATTATAGGATAGAAAATTCTAAACCACGTGAGTTTTGATCGCTTACATTTGATGCATGTAAATAACAATGAATGGTGTAGACCATTAATATCGGTGTGCAAAAATGTACTTTCACAAATGTAACTAAGTTTCACCTCATGTATATTATAACCCTACCCGTATATATAATATAATATATATAATATTATATATATATATATACATATACATATTATATAATATATATATAGTATATACATATAGAAAAATAATGGATAGTCGCTGGCAACTCTTATTGCTAAATGAGCTACCAAGAGATAGATAGGTGATGCGGTTCAAGTATTCTCATCTATATACATTATTTCCTCTGTGTGCATGGGCGCGTGCGCGTGTATATAGAGAGAGAGAGGGAGGGGGAAGAGAGGGTGGATGCTTTAATGCTCTTACGAATAAGTAACTTGGTTATGTCATTTAATTTGAATGACCCACTCTAGTCATTTCAACATGTTTTGAACTATCTACAAAAAGATTAGGCATATTGAGTTCTAATTAGTTATGCAGCATGTAGTAGAAAAAATAATGGTTTTACAAAAAGATTAGGCAAATTGAGTTCTAATTAATTATGCAGCATGTAGTAGAAAAAATAATGGTTTTACAGTAATAGCAACCAAAGGTACAACATGAAACATGAGTTATAGGGTTAGAGATCCTGAAACATCAAAAAAATTTATTTCTACATCTTTAAAGGTTTGTAGACCATGATGAATGAAATAGATCATTCACAGGAAGTCCAACTCATGCACTAAGAGATATCATTAGTTGTCTGATTAGAAAGTTGCTAATTTATGCAACCATTTGATGCACGGTAGTAAATGCTCAATATAAATGATCATTTTATTGATAGATCTTTTAATATATGTAATTTAATTGAACTAAGCAGACGATCTACATCAACCACAGAATAGATGAATCTGTGAGTGGGCATCACTAAGCTAGTTATCCTCTAACAATATTAACAGCGCACCTACACAAGAAACTGGCCCGCTGACCCGTCTGGTCATCTGAATGCATGCAAGCATGATCACGCTTCCGTAGACGCACAGATGGATGTGCGTATGTGGATAAAAGCGTCCCAAAAAAGTTACAAATACACCTAATCCCTTTATCTGTGTGCGCCCTTGCACAACCACACACATTGGCACACAGTCAAGTGCATGCTTCAGTGCTTGTGTGCGTAGGCATGTGTCTCGGTGTGTGGCGGAGCCTGTGTTCACGTGTATTTATGTGTATATGTGCACAAACATGGCTGAGGCTGTAACAACCTTAAATTTTTTTTTAAAACAATCAAGTAAATTACCCAAGTAAATAATAAAATATTCCACACAATATAACAACATAAATTAGAAGAAGCTTACCAATCAAAAGAACTACAAGTAAGCACCAAGCAATCATTCGTTTAGGGTGAGCATATTGAATTTGGTACTGAGATCTTTGAAGTTGTCTCTGGATAGCACCAACCCATCCGTTAAGCTGCTTATCACAGGTCTCATCCCCACAACTACCAAGACAACTCTTACTTCCTTCATAACATGCATTAATCCTCCGATTCAATTGTTGATCTTGTAATGGGATGGTTTCTTCATATTCGTGCCCATGCCTCCACTTCATTAACCCATTCCAATACCGATTCATTTTAGCATTGAAATGTTCACTCTTTGGCCCTGAGAAGCTAAGCTTCCTCGGCGGTAGAAAATTAGATTGTTCATTCAACATTCTACGAGAAATGTCATCCTCACTAGAGGCTGAAATTTGCAAGACCTCATTAACTGGGCTGGCAGACTTTGCGCAATTCTTCAGAGAATCAAAAGATTGAAAATCTGACCCTTTTTCTTTTTCTTCCTCAGAACCTGTTAAAAAGAGAGCAAGTTCATCTCTTTCCCCTTCATTTAGTCGAACCCAAGACAGAGGACTCTCCCCCTCACTGAGATTCGATTCTTTTAAAGAATTCTCTACAATAGATATCCGATTTTCAATTGCTAAAACAAATTGGTTACGCCGAGCTTTTGTTGACTTTCCAACAGAAAACTCCTCACCATTTGATTTAACCGCCCTTTCAAGCTCCTCAAGCTATAAATAAGCCCCAGGAAATCAGAATTCAGCTTTCTCCCCAGAAACAATCCTAATTTGGAATAAATTGAGAAATTTTTATTTGAATTAGAGAATACCTGCCATTTTGCAGTGCCTAGCGCGGTTCGAAGGTCCTTGGAGAGATTAGAAGAGGGGTTTGAATCCAACTTCTTTTCTTGAACCCATTGCCTATAAATTGATTCCATCCTGTAGAACAACTCGAGATCAAAATAACTCCAAGAATATTAAAAAATAATAATTATAAACGAATTGACTCATAAATTACTCCCAAAATGACGAAACCCTTGAAATCTCGCACCTGTCAGCAGATTCTTGAACCTCCTCGGCTGCGGAAAAGAAGGGATCTTTCTCCCATAGATCGAAGGACGTCGCCATCGAATTTTTCTCCCGATTGAGTTCAATTTGGAGATTGTTTAATTGGGAGCCGAGAATGAACCCTAGTTCCAATTTGCAGCCCTACAATTGGGGTATACAGAAGGTGGTCGCGCCTCTTTTAAAGTGACATTTTGTAGATAAACCCAAACACTTTCCTGGCTTAGCATAGAGTAAGCTTTCCATGTAAATTGTTAGGGTTTTTTTTGGTGTATATATACCCCTCAATCCTTCATCCTTCATATTTAAAACCTTATCCTCCAAATCTTGATATTTGCAAAACTATCCTCTTCTTTTTCCTACCCTTCAACTTAACAATGTTGGTTTCTAATTAAATAGGGCAATGTCAAATTTTGAAACAAATTGAGACATGTTTATAATATTTTCCCGTATGAAAACTAAAAAATTACAGGTAGAACAACTTAATATGAGAGGATCGAGGGGTAATTTTATAAATATTAAGATGTAAAGGGTAATTTGCAAATAAGTAAGGTTTAAAGAGTCCAAACATGATTTCATGGACCGAGAAATGAACAAAATTTTAACAAACTATAATGTGAAGCAGTATCTAATCTAATAAAGTCGACTGACGCTAATATATTTACACTGCAATGTAAAAAAAGGTAAATTAGAAAAGAAACTCTCATTCTATAAGGTTTTTGAAGAAACCCCATAATGTATTAAGTACAAAAGAAAACCCTAATCTATAATAGTTATTGAAAAATTGTTAATTTTTTTAATTTACGATAAGATTGCTTATGAATGTTAGAAGATTAAATTTAAAATTTTCACGACTATCCTTTTTTTTAATGTAATATTTCTATAATATTCTTGATAGTTTAATGAGTTACATTTTGTTACAATTGTACGCAATTATGATCAGGTAAGGTTGTTTTTGTTGATATTAAAAGACAATGGGGTTAACTGATAAACTGTCTCTAGGTGTAGGAGATATCTTGTAATTTATCTAAGAAAACAAGAATAGGACACCCTACCAAACTTTATCAGAGCGTTATGTTATCGCAAAGCATATTTTTATGATCAAACATTAGAGGGTAGCTAAGAATAAGAATACTTTGGTTGGTCCACAATGAAAGTTTAATCAGAGGACCATATTTCTTACTTCTATATTTTGGAAGATGCCTCATTTTACATGCACCTTTGATGAAATATGAATATTTTACCTAAATTCATCAAATTCCCATGAGAAATATAAAAAGTTTTTCTGCGTGAATGCTCCCTTGATGCAATATTTTCATACTCGGAATAAGACTGACCTTTTATGTGTTTATTTTTTTTTTTTCTCCATTTTTTTTAGGGGGGGGAAGCCACCTCCTAATGTTTGAGAATAATATCTTCTAGCTTTAATCTTTATTTCATTTTTCTTTGGAACAGAGGTTCATCTTCTGGTTGTTGATCTTATATGTTAAATGTTGAATATTTAGATGCATCCCAAAGAAAGGTATTAGACCTGCCAATGAATTATGAATCAATTACTAGTAGTCATGTTTAAGTTATGCTTCGACTTGCTTCGTTCTTGAGGCGACATAACACACGTTTGCAAAGGTGTCAGGAAAGCCGTATTGAGAAAGTGGATAACTCATTGGGGTTGTTGAATGTTGGAATTGGGGTGAAGACCATACCTCAACTCCGGCGAGCTCGAGATCCTTGCAAGCGAGGCGAGCTCGAAATCGTGGTGGCTTCAGGCGAGGTCGTGGACACGCAGGCGAGTTCGAGGTCGGGATCAGGCGATCTCGAGCGGCTCCTTGCTGGCCAGTTTAGGATCTGGCGGGCGAGATCTGTAGGCGAGCAGGGCAAAGTCCAGAAGAGTCGAGCTCGTGACAGGCGAGCTCGAGCTCAAGCGTTGCAAGCGAGCTTCGGCGACAAGCTGTCGCCAGCCTGTCGCTAGGGTTTTCCTATAAAAGGGAAACCCTAAGGCCCGAGGCTGTGGTTGTTCGGCGGCTCTCTCTCTCTCTCTCTCTCTCTCTCTCTCTCTCTCTCTCTCTCTCTCTCTCTCCTCACAAGTTTTTAAGGAAGTGAGTTAAATAAAAGAAAGAATTTAAGAGAGAAGTAATTGGTATTTAAGGAGGGGATAATATTACTGTAGCTACAATGATATTTGGCATTTATTAAGAGATCTCAAGTTTGAGATCTGCTCTTGCATTGTAATTTCTTGTTAATTAATAAGAAATTAATTGTATGGCTCCCGAGGAAGTAGGCAGTTGTTGAACCTCGTTAAATCTTAATGTACTTTTCTCTATACTGTGTTTCTACTGTTTTAGGGGTTTTGCGTAGCCCCGGCGGATAATTCCCAACAACTGGTATCGTAGCGTGAAACAATCTAAAGGAAGTCAGATTCAAGTGGGAGCCATGGCCGCAGATGAAGGAAAAGTGAGACCTGAGAAGTTTGATGGAATAGATTTTGGATTCTGGAAAATACAGATAGAGGATTATCTGTATCAGAAAAATCTGTATCAACCACTATCGGGGAAGAAGACGGAGTCTATAAAGGAGGATGAGTGGAACCTTCTAGACAGACAAGCCCTCGGAGTTATTAAATTGACGTTTACTCGCAATGTTGCGTTCAACATAGCGAAGGAGAAGACCACGACGGGCCTTATGACAGCACTCTCAAATATGTATGAGAAGCCATCAGCTACGAACAAAGTTCATTTGATGCGGCGTTCATTCAATCTGAGAATGACGGAAGGCGCGTCAGTAGCATAACACCTCAATGAACTCAACACGGTCACAACCCAATTGAGTTCAGTTAAAATTGAGTTTGATGAGGAAGTTCGAGCGTTGATCCTTTTGTCTTCCCTACCAGAAAGCTGGAATGCTACAGTCATGGTTGTGAGTAGCTCATCAGGAAGCAACAAGTTAAAGTTCGATGATGTTCGTGATCTGGTTCTCAGTGAGGAGATCCGACAAAGAGAGTCGGGTGAAGCTACAACCTCTTTAGTATTGCATACAGAGTCAAGAGGTAGAAATTCAACCAGAGGGAATGAACGAGGCAAATCAAACTACAGATGTAGATCAAAGGACAGCAGGTCTAAGTCAAGGAATCCAAGCAACATCTCAAAGGCTATCAAGTGTTGAAATTATGGAAATACCGGGCAATACAAGAATCAGTGCAAGAGTGCACAGAAGGAGAAGGAGGCGAAGACAGAGGTGAATGTCACTTCCACATCAGGAGGAGACGAGGCATTGATATGCTCTTTGGAGAGCAAGGAAGAGTCTTGGGTGTTAGACTCTGAAGCGTCATTCCATGCTACTTTTCAAAAAGAATTCTTCAAGAAGTATGTCCTCGAAAATCTTGGATACATATACCTTGGTGATGATCAACCATGTGCTATTGTGGGCAAAGGTGTAGTGAGAATTAAGTTAAACAGGTCAGTATGGGAGCTGAAGGATGTCAGGCATATTCCCGACCTGAGAAAAAACTTAATATCCGTAGGCTAGTTGGCTGGCAAAGGATACACTATGACCTTGCATGGAAATGATTGGAAGATCTCAAAGGGCGCAATAACGATTGTCAGAGGCAAGAAGACTAGTACCCTATATATGACAGCAGGTGCATGTTGTTTGATCTCAGTTACAACAGGCAATGAGACTTTAAAGATGTGGTACCAGAGACTCAGTCATATGAGTGAGAAGGGGATGAAGATCATGCACACAAAGGGAAAACTCCCAGGTTTACAATCAGTAGAGTTAGATATGTGTGAAGAATGCATACTTGAAAAGCAGAAGAGAGTCAACTTTCAGGCAAGTGACAGAATCCCCAAGAAGGAGAAGCTAGAGCTCGTTCACTCAGATGTTTGGGGACCAACCACCACTGCATCCATTGGTGAAAAACACTACTTCGTGACTTTTATCGATAATCACTCTTAGAAAGTGTGAGTCTACTTTCTAAAGCATAAGTCAGAAGTATTTGAAGCTTTTAGGAGATGGAAAGCTATGGTCAAGAATGAGACCGGTCTAAGAATAAAGAAGTTTAGGACCGATAATGACGGTGAGTATGAAGTGATAATCATATTTTATTACAAATTTATACCCTCATTATCTATTTTTAATGAATAAATATACCACTAATAATTATTTTTATCTTTAATTGCAGGTTAATGAAGAATAAAGCCCAAGATCTCATCTCTCAATAAAAACCCATTGATTTATTGAAGAAATAAAGCCCATGAAATCAAACAATTTCTTTTAAATATTTAATGAAGTATTAAAGCCTAAAATGCAAAGAAAATGTCAAAAGGCCCAAGCCCAAAGCTCAAAAGAAGAAGGAAACTGCGGGCTGAAAAAGGGGAGAGGTGCCTATCGATAAGCCTATCGATGCTCGCATCGATAAGCTTATCGATACCCACATTGATAAGCCTATTGATGCACTTATCGATAGCTACATGAGTCTGTTACGAATCAAATACTAAAATTTGTTGTTTTTGGATAAGATTTCAATCCAAGGGCTCTTCTTCACTGATGTTTACTATAAATAGGGGTAGAGAGTGAGGGGTTGAGAATGTGAAAATTTTTGTAATTCTATTTGGAGAGGAGGGTTACTCTTAATTGAGAAGACCTTCCAAATTTATAACTTTTGTTATAATTAATAAAAAAAATTCTCCACTTCAAATCTTCTTCTCTTTGTTGGATGATGATGATGGACATGAAGAAAAGTTTAAAGGTTTGCTTTTCTTTTATTTTTCTCTTTTATTTCTTTTTAGTAATTTCTTTATTATTGCTTATTAGTTAGATTTATATTCATGCTTATAGTGTAGATTTATTTTCTTATTTTTTTTTGTACCTTAATTTGTAGAGTAGATTTATTTTCTTGCATTTAATTTTTGCAATTTATTTTGTAGTTTAGATTTTAATTCTTTGTAGTTAGATTTATTTTTTGTTCATAGTTTAGATTTTTCTTTTCTTTTTATTTTTATAATTAGTTTTTTTTCTTACTTTTATTTCTTAAGATGTAAAATTAATTCTTGTAGTAATCTTAGAATTGTATGAAACTAGTCTAATTTCCTTTATATTGTATGAATTATTCTCTTACACTTAAAATGATCATATTTAGGATAATCAACTAGAGAACTAATTAATAGAAGAAGAATTTGATATAGAA